TCATGTTCTTGGAGCAGTCATCTGTGCAGCCTTGTATTGTTTTTGGGTGGAGGTTGGAAAGAACACAGCAGAAAGTGCTTCCCCCCGCCTCCCTGAAGGCAGGGGACTTCCCCAGAGCACATGTTCCTTGGCTGAAGGTTTAGGCATTGCCAGAACTGGTGTGGAAAGTGCAGATCCTGGCAGTTGTGCCCCTCAGGAGAACATCAGTTGCAGAAAAGCCAGTCCGTGTCATTCTGTGGTGCCACTTCCCATTCCAGAAGCATCTTGACCATTCTTTTGTGTTCACTCTTCATTCCAACCAGCGAAATCATTTGCTTGAAACGGAAGTGCAGTGGTGTGGGGAGAACTTGGGAGAAAATATATGGAACACTTTCACATCAAATTCGTCCTTCATCTCTTTAAGAACATTAAATATAGTGTGTAAAATGTAGCACATCGCAGTTGTTCTGGTTCTTGTGCAGCCTAAGTTTGTTGAAATTGATTCAGTTAAAGGGAAACAACATGTTCTATTGATGGTTGACATGCTGTACCAATGACTAGCATGGTGGGCTATACCCCATGACCCTTTATTTATATAAAAAAGTCAAATATAAATGCTTTTATTGTAGTAAGGTAAGAATGTAATCAGAGCTGGAGGTGCTGTTAGATATATTACATATACTTTTTTGCCTATTTAGGGGAGGAACAAAATAGAAAGCTGCCAGGGAGAGCCATTAGCATTTTGTAAAATAAAAAGGTGTTACTGGCTTAGAAGTACTATATAGAGTCAGGCATTAGCAGGAAAAAACAAAAGAAATCCGTACTTCTAAGGAAGACAGATGCCTGAATGACCCATGGCTTCTAATGCTGAACAAGGGTTTTGTGGATTTTGGAAAATGCATGTAGACACATGAATATGAAGAAGGTTGAGTATCAAGTTGGCTGAACAGTACCAGGCCCAATCTGTGTGGGAAGAACAAGCTCGCAGGCACAGTGCCGCCCGAGCTTCTCAGCAGAGATTGGGTTCCGAAAGCCCTGCTGTGGGACTGAACTGGGCATGCCGGAGAGCAGTGCTTCCAGTGTATTCTTCTGCCTGTGTGCTCATTTCTGCTCCCCTCCCCACCGCTGATGAGGGTAAACATGGACTTATGTGGCTCCCCTCACGAGTTTGAGGAAGGCTCCCACACTTGCTCTTTCTGAACCTGCGGCTCAGTGTTACAGTAGAGCAGTGTGCCCTCACTAAAGTGTGCCCTCACTAAAGAGCCTGACACAACTGCTGTGACACATTTTTTTGAAGGGTGCATGGGAGCATGGCTCCTTTTTGTAGCAAGAAAGCCCACCCATTTTTATTCTGTTCACGGGCTTGTTAATGAAGTCCAGATAGAAGTGCTTAGTGACAAAACCCTAAAGAGAGAAGCAGGGAAGAGTGGTTTCGCTTGGCTTCGGATCCTGATAAAACACGCCTGCTGCAATGAAGGAAAAAGAAAACAGTCCCCCAGTCCCTTTATATCTGCCAGAAGGGCTCTGATTTGCAGCTGCACCAAACTGCTTGCTGCTCCAGAAAGGATTACACAGCTGTGTTGGAGGGACACGGGTCCGGGAGGAGGGAGTGCCTCTGCTGGGTGGGAAGCCTTTGGGGGCACCCTGCAGCACCTCAGCAGAGGAAATATTGCTGCCCGGGCGGGAAGGGGCCCCGGAGGACTGGGGCTGGGTGTGAATTATTCATGTGTGCCACTGTGAAAGTAATAAAATAAAATTAAAATTGAAATATAAACATACATCATGGTAGATTTCTGTGTGGGAAAGGGGTGATCGAGAGAGAAGGAAATGCTCCTGCGGTTGGTTTTGTGGCATTGCAGGGAGGCTGAGAAGGGGGAAGCAGAGGGTGGCTTTGTGGCACCATGGAGAATCTCGGGGGGGGGCGAGCTCTGGGTGGCCCCTTCCCACTCCTCATCACAAGGCCTGGATGGGATAGTTTTTGCCCAAACAGCCGCCACTGCCACCCACTCTTAAGAGCCGCTATCTTTGGGTGACTCGTCTGGGCTCGCAGCTTATACACAGTGAGTGTGCCCCCCCCCCCCGCCCACTTCTCCCTCCAGCAGGATTGTGCTCAGTGAGGCCACATGAGTCTGTCCAGAAATTTTCCATGCTGCTCTTCCTTAGCTGGAGCATCTCCTCCCCCAGATTGCCTGTTGGTTGGGGTCCTTCCCTGAATTCCATTCACAGGGAAGGTATATTGTGCGTCTGCGGAGGAAAGACCCTTTTCTCTGGTGGCTTCCTCACTCTGGAACATATTCCCCAGGGAGACAAATACAGCTTTTTTGAGAGCCAGCAAAGCCTAAGGCTCTGTGGATCCAGATAGGAAGAGAGTCTCATACAGTGACTTACTGCTCTTGAAGTTCCATCCGAGTTTCCGTTGTGCCTGCCCCTAGAGATGAGTGCAGTTCCCTTCCTGGGACACCAGCATTGGCTTCTGCTTCCCAGTGCCTGCATGCAGACTTGACTGCCACCTAGTTGGATGTACCATGCAGTCAGCGTGCCCAAGCATCTCTTTTCCACATTGTCAGGGTGAATGCCTGCATGCTTCCAGCACCTAAGGAATAGGTAGCAGGAGTCCCCAAACTCACTCCATCCACTTGGGCCTCTTTTCTGTAGCTGCATGCCAAGGTGAACTGCTGGGATGCCTAGGTGCTTCCCCGAGGAGAACAAAGGCACGGGTGATGGGCTCGACAGACTGCAAGGGAAGCTCTGATAGAAGCTTGTCCTTATAAGCTTGCTGAAGGACAAGGAAGGACCGAGAAGCTGCAGTGAATGAGGGGAAGCACATGGCAGCTCCTCACTGGGGTTCATGTGGTGTGGAGCTGGGCACGGAAAGAGCTGCCTTCTGTAGCAAAGTGTGCTGTTGTCCATCAGGCCCAATATAGGCTGGACTCTCTGCAGCCAGACCCATGCCCTGGCATGGAACTGCAATCCCTTCCCCAGATTGAGGGCCCCTGTGCCTGTCCCTGAAGGGGAGCGGCTAAAGGTCCATAAGGGAGCACATTCCCTCAGAGCCATTGTTGCTAATCCCGCTGTAGACTTTGAGGGATGCAGCCCAAAATACGCCCCCTTCAAAGGGCAGCTGCCTCCCAGCAGGCTACTGCAGTATGTCTGGGCTGCAGCGGGAGTGCCTGGGGGAGAAGAGCTTGCTGGGTACAGAGCTGAGGAGCCGGAGTGCAGTGCAGTTACAGCCATGCCTGGGAGGTGAACTCAAACCTTCCAAGGATCCTGTGCATGGATGCCACTCATGTGGGACGCTGTGGGAGGGGGTGGTGGCCTTGGACCACACAACACTGATGGGGAAATGGTGACAGCACCGGCCTCGCCCCATATGGGCCTTGCTCTGGCCATGTGCTGGGCTGGGAAAACTGTTGATATTAAGATGAAACGGACTGTCAGAGCTACTGCTTTTGTTGCCCCAGTGCGTGGAAAGGATCATTCTTCAGTGCAGGCCAATGTGTAACTTACCCTCACCTGACTAGCTGGTGTGAGTGAGCATCTTCCTCATGCAGACTGACAAGGAAGATCTGACACATTAGAAAGCTACCTTCTTCCCCCTTCCCTCAGCGCTGGACTGTCTGTCGGGCTGGTGGTGTGGAACTTCCATGGACTCACTAGCAAAGTGCTGTGCATGCTGCAGGGGACAACCACAGCCGTTCTTACTGCTCTCAGTATGAATTTGGCAGGATACTGGTCGGGGTGGCATGTGTGCCCCTTAGTGCTGCGCTTTTCTCCCAGCCTGCTTTTTCTCTAGAGTGGGAACTGCAGCAGAGTGACACCCTGATTGTCCAAGTGCACGTCTCTCTTTCTGCACCCCCTCACCAGGTGCCTTTTTAATTACTTAGGGAAAAACCTATTGAAAAGCTGCTCAGTACAAATCCCGTAAGCTGCTATTGATGGAGGCACTCGAGAGAGCTTCAGCCCAGCCAGGAATCTGAAACATGGGCACCATCTGTGGTTCTGCGTCTCCCTGCCCAAATTACATTCGAAGATCTTGCTTTCCTCCACTATTTTTCATTAAGTGAATTGGTTTTGCTGGAAATTGCTTGGCCATAAATATCCATCCCCTGCTTGGTGCAGGCGAGTTATTACTGCTCCCTGGTTTGGCACTTGTATTTCACTGCAGAGCAGAAGGTGGTGCCCTAAACAACTCTGAAATGGGGAAAAAACGGGTGGTGGTGGGAAAATCCTCCAGCAGGGAAGCTGAGCCAGAAGGAGCCTGGCGAGGGAAGGCCTCCCCTCCCTTCCCACTGCTCTGAGCCCTGATGCTTTTTGGCTTTCGGATCAAAATGAGAGCCAAGATACCCACCTGCAGATTTGGCTCAATCGTTTAAAATCTTTCAGTGAATGCTTTTGCCCCACCCCACCGGCTCCCAGGGCTGCCGCTTCCACTTCCAAACAGCTCTGTGCTTTGCACATGCTCATCAGCAAAGCCCCATGTTCCCTTCTGTTGGATTGAGGGAGCTCTCTTCTCCTTCCTGAGCCCCATCCTAGCCGCTTCTTTTTGTCAGCTGCTTGCCAGCCCCAGCCATTCTTTCCTTCAGGCCTCTGCCATCTCTGCCCAGCCCTCCATTGGTTCTCTGCCTACTTGGCCCTTGGCCTGCCTTGCTTTGCCTTTACCACTCTCCTTTACTGCTCTGGTGGACCTTGTCCCTTGCCGCCCTCACCCCCCATCCTCCCTGCTTTGTGCTTCCTCCCGTCACCCCTTTTCCTGCAGTCTGCACAAGCTCTAAGCCGATAAACTGGCAAGGTTTGCTTAACTCAGCAGCATTCCACTTCCTGCTCCGAAGAGGCATTGCTTGCCTGCGTTATCTGGCAGATGCTTTCACTCTTTGCCAGTAGTACTTGCACCTGTTTGTACCAGCGGAGCTTGGAATTGACGGGGCAGCCAGTTTGGGCCACTCACAAATCTGTGGCAACCCTTTGTCCCAATTTTCCTTGTAACATTGGTCTGACAAGTACCTGGGATGTGTTTTTTTCAGTGCACGTGCCGGAAAGACACGGTGAAGATCTCCATGGATGTTTTTGTGCGGGTCCTCCAACCTGACCGGTATGACCTGTGGAAGCAAGGGAAAGACATCACTGCTTTGGACCACATGAAACCAACAGCTATAACCAGCCCAGAGCTGGAAGCCTGGAATCAGACAAAGGACGCCTTGAAAGCAAAGATGCTGCGCAGGTAAGAGTCGCTTTGTGCCTCCTCTCCTCCTCCACCGTTAGAACACCAGTCAGGAAGCAACTGGAGGCTCTGCCAGAGGAAAAACCCTGAGAAAGGGGACCACTTCCTGTTTGGAAGGCCGAGCGAAGGAGGCGTACTCCACCATGATGAATTGAAGCAGGAAACCCCGTCTTGCCCCATGCAGCGTGTTGAGGTATCTCCCCCTACCTGCCCATCTCTCCCCGCATGGTCTCCCTAGGAGTGTTAGTCCCGGTTTGCTCCTGTCAGTGCTGCCTTCTGAAGGTTCCTCCGTGGCCACTCCCTGCAGGCAGAGAACTCTGCTCCAGCAACCACGGCAACTTCTCTCTGCCACAGCTTTGCAGGGACCTTCTGGGCCAGCCTTTCAAAGCTCTGCAGAGCTGAGCTTTAGTATAAAATGGATGCCTAATTGGATTTTTCCCTCAATTAGACAGTGCTCATTGTGGATTGGAAGAGAGCAGCTGAGCTTGGCCTGCATTCCGAGCTGACACCCAGTTTATGACTGTTGAATGTGCAGTTCCTGGTTGTTTTAGTCCTTAGCAACCTCCCTTCCAGTATAGGAGGAAAGCTCTTTCTCCCCCAGGTTCTTCTGTACTTTTGAATTGCTCCTGTCAGGTTATTTAATGTTGATGTGTCTGACTTGTGCCGTGCTCACTTCCTCTGGCGTTTCTGGATGGCTGTCAGTTGTTACATTTATTTGCTACTCAGGATTTATTATGCTGCTCGGGATTTCATATTAGAATCCTGGTAAAGTACAGTGCAGCTGGAGTGGGGTTATGTGCACTCTTCGCTTCTGCATATTTCTCAAAAGCATGGAACGGACTCAGTTGGTCACAGGCATGTACATCCTAAGAATTTTAGCAGATGGTTCATGTATTTCTGTTGGGTTTTTTTTTTTTTAAGAAGACATAGGTTTCTGGTTCTTACTGTTGAAGGGAAAATTATGGAGTTCCTTTATACCATTCTTCTCTCTTTACTCATATTGTCCCTTTGCTACTCCAGTAATATTTCCTGCACCCTTGCTTAAAGGCCACACGTCCTCAAATGTTTTCCTTTTTTATCAGGACAGAAGCTGTTTCTATACTTCCAGGGTTTGTTTATTCTATGACTTCCTCACTAGAGTATCTAGTTCTTCTCAGCCCCTAAATGTTTGTTGGCAGTTGTGTTCCCCACTTGTGATACTGTGGGTCAGGATTCCCACCACTAGATTTTTTGTAGATCATGCCTGCTAACTTTTGTGGTGCGTAACAGGGCTGAGGGGCCTTTCCCACCTGGAAGGGGTCTTCCTGCTGTTTCATACTTGTAATTTACAGAAAGTTGCAGCAGAGAGGGTCACATCCAGCCTGGGAAGACCTTGGATAGATGGACATCAAAAACATCCAGAGATAGGCGAGCTGCAGTTCCCATGACCCTTGGATGTGCTTTGAAAGTGCATCCTCAGAGCATCTTGTGACTGTGAAGCCTCAAGCCCATCTGGTTTCCCTTGGGCCCTCTTGGTTGCCTCTTCCTGGCAGGGAGGCTTCCATTCATGCCAGACACTGTAGAAGATTGAACTTGAAGCTTTTTTGGAATTCTTGGTCTTCTTGGACACCAAGTAGGATTCACTGGAAGTCAACCGGGAGCAGGTGGCATGCTCAATCCATCAGAGTTTGCATGGGATATCCTGCTCCCTCACGGGTCCATATGAATTAATCGCCATGGCAATCTCACACTCATGGCCAACACTTCTCCCTCCCTCCCTGTTCTACTTCCCCCAGCCCTTCCCCCAGCCTCTCTTCTAAAAGTGTCTTGTGGTATTAAATTGCAAGACATTTTCTCTTTGCTCAGGCACACTAGCAGGACCATCCTTCCACTTGAAAACTTGTTATCTCCAAAGCAGCAGTCCTCTCATGTCTGCTCTCAACAGCCCCACAGAGGATGGTGGTCTGAGAACTCTATTTTTCCATTTGTCTGCAACCCCCCTTTCTCCTTCCCCGCCAGGACCATGGGCCCATGCCGGGAAATGGGGCAGAAGAGTCCCAAGCCACACCAGTGTCCCCACCTTCTGCAGCCCTGGTTCCTGACAAGCTGATCTCACAGGCACATCAAAAGTGTATGCCGGCACCTTGGCTCCTTGAAATGCTTTCCCGTCTGCCAGGAACCATTTGTCTCGTTCTGGTGCCCTTCATCCTCATGCATTGAGTGTGTTGCTGTGCTTGCCCCTGGACCTGCCTAACTGGGAGAAGCTGTGGGCTTGGCACAACTGCTATTTACATAACGGCTAATTGATTGTGGTGAAAGCTAATTGGGCAACACAGCAGCTTGTCAGAGAGAGTGGGGATCCCATTTCACAAAGATCCATTGGATTAGAAGGGTTTTATAAATGACCGCTGAGCCAGGAGGCACAGGACTGGCTGCCTAGGAGGTGGGTGTCATGGTTTCCTGTCTGCAAGCTCTAGTCAAGCTGGTATTAAGAGGAGGAAAAATCTTTACACTGAGGATGTTCAGTGGCAACGCATCCAGGGGAGAAACTCAGGCCCTCCCACAGACTTTCTGTTCTCTCCATCTTTTACCCTGTGCTCTCACCTTATGCGAATGCTGTCCTTTTCTTGAACCCTGTGCATTTCAGAGAGACCTCTTCCTTGCTGGGCTTCTTGAATAATCAGGCTTCATCTAGTATCTGGATTGTGATGGAAACACGTAGATTCCCACAGAAGTGCATGTGTGCGCGTGCGTGCATGCCTGTGTTATTTGCACCTGGAGGTTTGTTTCCTCTGGACCCAGCCATCTATGTGCTGCCACTTGCTGTGCTTATTGGCAAGATTGCCTGCTTACATTCTGAGGCAAGACTTGTTGCTCTTGGAGGTCCTCTTGGTTCTTCTGCAGCAGATACATGCTGCTTCCCATTCCGCACCTGCCCATATGACTCGGTTGTCTCCCTGTGCATGATTGGCCTTGCCTTCCCAGGCTGTTCGACACCCTGGCCGGCCGGCCATTCCCGCACCTGTACACCCAGTAGTGTCTCAGTCCCATAAAGCATATTCACTGACAGATATTGCGAGGAGCGGGCTGCAATCTGGGGCAGGACCCCAAACAGGGGAGCACTCTGCAGAGCTGGGCAGAAACCGGGTTGGGACAAAGAGAGAACCAAAAATTGAGTCTCAAGGTCCCAAGCTGAGAGCAGACCTTGCAAAAAGGCGTGTGTGTGTTCTTTACATTTCTGATTTGTTTTCCTTACCTAACAGAACCCAAGGAGGCAGGGGGGACCAGCTCCAGGCACAGGCTGGGTCCAGTCCTTCATGGCTTACACAGGGGTGCCCCTTGACGTGCCTTCAGGCCACGGCAAGCTTAGCCTGAATGCCTGAGTATCTGGAGGGCTGGCCTGCGGTAGCCACTTTGGAAGCAGGGGAGATAGCCTGCCTCTGCACCGTGCCACCTCGACAGAATAGGTGCTTCAGTGGCTTGCTTGACTTGGTGGAGTTGTAGCAGTGGAGTGAGCCCTGCTGAGCACCTTGGGACGACTTGTGCTGTCAGAGAACTACTTGTGCATTTCTGTCAAAGAGGGTGACGTGTTCGCCCAGCTACCCACTGGGTATTGGGTCTTTCTTGCACTATCTTTGACATGGCTCTGTTGACATGTAACAGCAGCACACCAGTCTAAAAAGGAGTGAGTTTGGGGGGATGCATGGGAGAACCGTTTACAGTGCCCCTGCCCTGTTGCTTTTACAGTGCAACCATTTATTGGCTCTTCTATAGGTTGTGGAACATGATGTATGGGCCACCTTTTTTTTCAAAGGGCTAAACGGATGAGCGGTTAACCTAGCCATGTAGATTGGGTTCACCACTGTCTTCTTGAGCTCTTAATCCATCAGGACATCATGCGTCACCACTCACAAAGGAGCCAGATCCAGGCTGTGCAATAGAAGTCGGTGGAGCTTCTGCCTGCCACTTGTCTCTGACTCACTTTTTTTCTGCTGTCTTGCATGCTAACCAGCTCAGTGTCTTGCCTGGTGGCTGGCAGTCTCCTCTGGATGTCAGTTATATTACCCCATTCACATTTATCCAAGATGCTTTGTCCAGATTCTTGAGTAATCGTGCCTTCCTCATCCCTGTGAGCTGGCACAGATGTGGAAACCGGGATGGTGACATGTGTGATCAGTTAGCATTGTGGGGGCAGGAGGACTTGTGCAGCTCCCACCTCCTTCCATGAGAGATGAGGCCAAACTGGGTGCCATTGGCTCCTGAAGTTTTTTCAGGTAATAATTTTAAAAGCAATACCTTGGCCCACTAAAAATAGCCCCCAAATGTTTGGCTGTTAATTGGGAGTGTTAATTGCCATTCCTCTCCTGAGTAAGTGTTACAGTTTCTTTCAGTTCATAGTGAAGCGGCATTCCAAGCCTTCTGGACACCTGGCAGTGTGTTTGTGCTAATGAATTTTTTTGGAGGTGTGAAATAAACATCCACACATGGAGAGAGCGGCCATATGGCCATTTGTCATTCCTCTGCTTGTGTCTGCCTGCTTGCATTATTATTATTTTTCTGGTTGCAAGGTGCCTCCCCTCTTTCCCCTCACCCTGGATTGGGTTGTTGTCTCATTCAGAGACACTGTTATGTCTATCCTAGCCCCACCGTGAGCAGGCTAGAGATGATACAGGGGTGGGATTTCACGTTTGGCATCTTGTGAATTGGCCTGGCTAACTCTGCACCTCCTCCTCCTACATTGGCTGGAGCTGGGAAGGAACCATGCCACGGGGGAGTCAAAATCTCACAGCACAAAGAAATGATGGCATGCAGGAGTCTAGCGGAAGAGACTCTGGACTGAAAGCAAGAGGAAACCGCTCAAATAGCAGCAAAGAGAATCTGCTGTACCTCCATCCACACAGGTGCATACAGATACACGGACAGATACGGGTAATTCTTGCTTCCAAGATATATTTGTGAGCCCAAATTTTCTGTCACCCTCTAGAAGGATTTTGCTACAGCCGCAGTTGTAGTCTCTTGAGAGTCTGCCTCTGCATGCAGGAGTTTGGTCTGTCAGGAAGTACATGGAGGATAGGTAGAATAGTTCCTTGCTAAAATGATAGGAGTGTGCAAAGCAGTTCCATGAGGCATTGAAGGCGGAAAGATCATGTGCTGTTGCAACAGAAATTGCACATGTAGGGTGGCTCTTTGCTTAAAAAAAAGATCTAAAATACTCTTCCAAATGTGTTTATTGGGTTGTTCTGGGCCTTTACATCTAGCCAGTAATTCATAACTTAACTTATCAACCTGTTTTTTGGCTAGAATTGAAGTATTTCTGCTCTGACTAATGAAATGTCATCCTGAGAACCCATGGCTTTTTTTGGGTTTTTTATACCCATGGAGGCTTGTACTGTCTGGATCCTGCAGGGCAAACTTATCACAGCTGGAGAGCCACGGTTTTCTTCATGTTGTCAGCAGCTTTCTTTGTTCCTCTTCAGTGTCCTCTGCTCTAAAAATTATGAATATTAAGATGTTGGGAGCAGAAAGCTGCAAGAACCACAAGGGAAGGTGCTTTACAAGCAGTTCCTCCTATTTTAGTGTAAAATGAGCAGCCTTTAAAGGCAAGGTCTGGTAAGGGAATAGAATCAACTATGCCATTGAGAAGTAAGCTGGGCGCAATATGGGAGTGTTAGACTTGCGCCATGCACAGCAGCAAAATTCCCTAGGAAAAACATTGGTGGATGTCTGGCAGGCTGGGCCATGCATGGTTGTCTGCCAAGAGTTGGTTCAGCTAAGAACTAACCCTGGTGTCCACTGGCTGGCTGGATCAGCATCTTTCATGACACACACCACCCTGCCACCCCCAAGTGTATGGCTGATTAATTCTCCAGCCACGGTGTAGGGTAGCTGTCATTTGGGACAGTGATAGGAGCTTTCAAATTCTGAAGAGCAAGGATCCTGCAAGCAGGCAGAGGGTAGCACCACACAGCAGCATTTAGAAGCATAAGCAGTAGCTGGTTTCAAGAAATGTTTGGGCACACAGAGGAGAAGCGTAAAGCTCAAGGGGGGCCCTCATGGGACTGCACTCAGTCTTCTATCTGAATTTCCCAGGGTGGTGTGTAATCACTTCTAATCTCCTGCTCCCATCAACTGCCCAGGTCTCTGCCATACTCACAGAGAGAAATGCAATTACAGGAGGGCCCTGGCAGAGTCTTGAGGTGGTGACCAGGTGCGCCTGCCAGGTGTCCTGTGAAGGGTTTTCTTCCAGTGGTTGCCTTTGCTGGCAGTTCCAACTTCTCTTTGCCAGAGAACTGTTATTACCTTCCAAGCCAAGCTTATTCCTCTTTTGCAAGAGGAAAGCAAATCTTCCTTTCCTTAACCAACAGCAGTGTCTTTCAGGAGGCCTTTTTCTCTTCCCTTCCCAATCCAGGGCAAACAGGAAGCGGAGCCAACCCCGGAGGCATAAGACACAGGATCAGAAGTCGCTCGGGGATGTCATGACAATGGAGACTGCCTTGGGTGAAGGGAAAGAGAAGGAGGAGCAGAGGAGGGTCCCCAGCTTGGATGAAGAAGAGAAAAGCAAAGAGGGTAAGGCCATGGACTGTACTTGCCATGCTTCTCTGGAGGTGCCTTAGAACACCACATCAGAATGTCTCAGCCCTTGTTGAAAATGCTCCCACTCACCACCACTTTCCTTTTATAGTACATTTTCTTAAACATGATACAGAAATGGTAAGCTAGGTAAAACTGTATACCCAGCCTATTATTATTATTAATTATTATTATTATTATTAAAAACTTTTGTATGCCATCCCCCATGCAAGGCATCTTGGGACGGCTCACAATCAATACATTAAAACAATAAATGAAATCAATTACATTAAAACAATCTAAGCAAAAAAAACATATAACCAAGAAGACAGGACTGTTGCATTAAAAACTAGTTTTAAAATACTGGTTAAAATGCTAGTTTTATCCAAGATTGCCTTCAAAGGAGCTTAAAATTCAATTTAAAAATTCCAGTACAACTAAAGATGTGTGGAGTAGTGGTCATCTCTCACGGCTCCTGGCAGATGGTGGCATAGTGTAGAATCCAACCTCTTCCCTCTGTAGAACTGTCTGTGGGCAGTGCATGTGCCCTGCCTTTGACCTGTGGCCCACATGATGACAGCAGTGGCAAACATGAGGCACCTTTTACAACTTCTGTTTCTTCATCCAGGTAGGACACTTAGAGAGGTCTGTAATCTAAGAGCCATTTGCACATGATAGGAGTCAGATGGATTTGAGTGTATGTGCAGGGATGCGGCTGTGGCTGGGGAGATTGCCTGACAAAATTTAGTACAAAATAAATGCATACAGATATGCCGAAGTCATATATATGTTTTTCTAGAGGCTGCAGTTTGCTTTTTGTTAATGTATACTCTGGTAGGAAGTTAGAGTTTTTTAGCTTACGATAAAGCCCTTGTGATTGGTACATTGAAACTCTGAACGGAAGAACCTGGGACATGCTGCTTTCCCTGGGACACATTTGTAAAATTGCATGGAGGGCATTGTCTGCCCTAGTGGGAGAGAGACCTGGCCAATTTGCCAGTACAAAACCTGCAAAGATGTCTTCTCACTTAGTACAGCCATTTGCTTTTTAAAGCTTCCCAAGCAGTTCTGAGTGAAATAGCATTAATGACTGGTACAGCTTTCCTTATCCTTATCCTTATCCTTTTTTTTTCTTTTTCTTTTTTTTAAAAGAGAGCCTTTTTCTTAAGGACTTCATAACATCTCGAATCTCACCCTCTGCCTTGTGTACAGGTAGACTTTTTGTGAAGCTTATGCCCATTTCATGGTGGAGATACTGATGCTGATGAGTAATAATAACCATGAATAATCCTTTAATTATCACTGTAATGCTCCGTCATATTTATATATCATTCTTCTGTTAAAAGTATCCAGAATGGAGTGCAATGTAATCATAAAATCCATATAATGCAAAGAATAAAAAGTACAAAGAGAGCAACCAATTTCTGAAAGCAGTGGCACAGAATATCACAGCCAACACTTGAAAACAAAGGCAAATCATTAGATAGAAACAGCAGTGGAAGTCTCTCTTGCAACCTGATGGGAGTTACAAGCTATCAAAAATTTGGCAGCTGAGGAAAAAGAGTTGGGTGAGGAAATATTTCCATGTGCACTCAACAGGGAATAGAGGTTTAGTTTTTCTCCCTAGCCCTGAAATCCTAGATTTGGATTACTAGGAGCTTTAGCAACTTAAGTGTGAACAATGGGCAAGGAAGATGGAGATGTGCACATCACATGAGTATGTACAGTTGTAAAGTAATCACAGAAACTTGTCGCGTGGTACAGAATCCTGAAATTCTCAGTCACTGTTTTAAAAAACCAGACATTTTAGGATCATGGCTACAGAGATAATCTTTTAAGTATATGGCCAAATCTTATGAAATCTTAGAAGCTATAGGGAAGCACAAGCAGGCTTCACAGTGGTCAAAAGCTGCCATCTTTGTAACCTGTGCTACTCATTTTCTCTGTGGTTAACCAAAGTATAATGAGCAGTTTTGCAGTTCTTTCTTTCCCCGTGTCATAGAACTTGGTTTCTTTAGCAAAGGTTGTACACCAGTAATTCCCAGGCTCTGTGTTGAAGGACAGTATGTGCTATGAAAAATACATTTGATTAAAAATGAATGGATTGAAATTCAAATCCTGAGACCAAGGCCTGCCCAGCACATGGGATTGAGAACAATTGAGTGGGGCCAGCATTTCTGCTCTGTCCTTGTTAATTTCTTGGGAGGAGTCTGTTGTTTCAGAATTTGCTTTTGATAGGCTTCCTTTGGCACCTTTTTGAAGTGTAAAGGCAGGGTCAGTTTGACTCTGCACAGCTCTGCCCAGGTGGACAGCAGCCATATCCCCCTGTGCAGGGAATTCTGCACTGCTGGCAAGGTCCTGCAGGAGTGCGGGCACGTTTTCCTGGCTCCTGCATCACGTCTGGCCCACTGTTCCCCTCCCTTGAGCGTGGTGAGGAGGCAGCCGGCCACTGGCCCGCGTTGGCGGAGTCCCTGCTGCTCCCCCTCGGCAGCTGGCGCATGCAGCAGTTGCAGCACGAGACAAATGGGCAGAGCAGTGCTGGTGCCTGGGGGCGAGGTGGGGGGACCCGAGAAGAGTGGGGGCAATGGTTGTGTTGGAGAGGAACAGCTTTTAAGCAAGCTGCAGGTCAACTGCCAGTATCGCCAAGATGAGGCTTGTTCTTGCTGGGAAGCCTAGACGTCATAGCCACGCAGCGCTGGTGCCTTCTGCCCCGGGCTCAGCAGTTTTCCTTCAGCCCTGAAACCCTAGGAAACCCTGCTTGTTCTGAACGAGCTCTGGGAGAGTAAAGAGAACATAAATATTCCTCTTAGTTTGGGCCTTAAAAGTAATTCTCCCAAAACCTACCACCCTTAGGCTGCAATCCTGTGCAAGTACAGGCAGGGAAAAAGGGCTTGCCTCTCCGAAGCTGCTGGGAATTGCACCTACAACCCCTTCCCATGTTCATTCTGTGCTTCATCACAAGCCATATTCCCGCTGGTGCACCCGCCTCAACTCTTTGTCAAAGGCCTGATTTACACGTGTATGAGAATCCATCACTTGCTGATAACATCACACGATTCAGACATGAACAGCACAGATCAGACAACACTGGGAAGGTTTTTTGTTTGTTTGTTTTTTTGACATCACTCTCAAACCCCATTCTTCTTAAGGGAGGCAGGTTGTGTGTGTGCAGCTACTGGTCATCAAAGGTACAGAAGTGAAGCATGGTGAATTAGCCCTTGGAAAGTGAAAAGATCTCGGAGTAGAGGCTCTTCTCCAAAGCCAGGAGAGGCAGAGAAGAGGCAGATTCCGTAGGAGAGGCGTCCCAAGGCTCAGGGTCTGTCTGGTCCAGCATCCTGCTTCCCAGAGGCAAACCAGGAACAGCACATGGTGGCCATGCCCTGCCTTCTCCTGTCACGCAAGCTTTAAAGCAGCAGAATGCAGGCATGGGTGACATTCTTGGCCAAATTTGTCCCACTGGTTGGGCTGCAACTTTCTTCAAGTTGAACTGTCCTCTTTGTAGCTGGCAGGATGAGGAACATAACACTGCTTTTGTCTTCTGAGGGTTCTAAAGCACAGGCCCGTGTACCACCTGCTGTCAAATTCAGCAGTCGATAAAGGGCAGCATGTTGTTCTCCTTCAGTTGCTGAGGGGCTGGGAAGGGGGGCCGTTCTCTCACCACCTCCTGGTCTCAGCACTCCAAGTGCAAATATGATCTCACGTTGTATGGCCAGGGAGAAATCCAATTTGACTTTGCATTCAGTACCTTGGTTTCTCCAAGGAAATTCAATATTCCTTTCCACACTGTGCCTCCCAAACAGCTTTATCTCAAAGCGTTGCTCACAAGTACACCCCTGACTGGATCCTGCTTGTTTTCTTGATTTTATTTTTAAATAGATGGGTGTAAATAAGTCTCTTGGAATATCTGCTTCTGGGAAATGTCGTGACACAAGCCTCTGCCCACAAAGACTACTGCAGGGGCAGTCGTAACAGCTCCATCTTGCTCTGGGCTTAGATTGTTTCACAAAGCTCTGTGCTTGCAGTGGCTTATCTGATTTCTCTTCCCCACCCTTTCTGCAGCGTGATAAGCCCCAGCCAGTGGGCTTTGCGGGGCTCCAATGCCAGCATCTCACAACTGGGAGGATGGCTGGTAAATCTTACTGGTCAGGACAGCTGCAGTTTCCCCATTCCTCTCCACACGCCCCCACCTCAGTCCTCCTCTCCACTCTGAATACCCTGTTCCATAGGTAGAGTTGTCTGGGCATCTTGTGGGTGAAAAACGATTCCTTTGGAAACAGTTGGGGGGTGGCATCTTGTCTTTGAAACATCCATTATTTACTGTCCCTTGGAGAGACTTGGTAACTTTATTCATGAAGCTGGCAAGGGGTGGGGTAGGTAAAGCTCTTTGAATTCACTGCCAATGCAATAAAGGAAATGGTATTGAGACAGCTGCTGCCATGACCCGTTTGGAGGCTGGCTGGAGTTTCAGGTCCTGTCCCCCAACCATTTGCCTTTCTGCAGGGGTCTGGGTGAGGAAGCCTGCTGGAACAAGTGGCCATGTGGCAAAGAGGAACAGGGAGGTGTCCTCTGTTTTATGGGTGGCCCTTTGTCTAGAAGGGAAAGTATTGGGTCGTCCCTCTGCCCAAGGAGTGGTTGCAAAGGAGCATGCAAGAGACAACTGCATGGAGATGGGATATTAATTAATTAAAAGCTTTTGTATGCCGTCCTGTTATACAAGATCTTGGGACGGCTTGCAATATTTAAATGTAAGGGAATAGATGGAAGGGTGCTGGCAGGAAGGAGATGAGAGAGGATTAAGAGCAGAGCACATCACTCTTGCCAGTACCATGACGGCCTCTTGTGATGGACCCTGGATCGGTGCCCGCCCTGACTCATGTTGTGAATGGCCATCACTGCCTTCAGAGGCCTTGCCAGGGAAGCTGTTTGGCAGAGACATGATTCAGGGGGCTCGGTTCAAACCCTCATTTCCCGTGATTTTCCAGTGTCTGGCATGCAATAGCAGAATGAACTTCTGCATGGCCTCTGCAAACAGGCAGGCTTCTCTCCCCACTGCCCTTAGTTTGCTTCTTCCAGTGAACTTGTCCATAAGGGAACAGCCAGGGTCCAGAAATGGCATGTTTGGGGGATTTTAAATAAAATCTGGGTTGTGCTTCTGCCAACTCTCTACTCAGTTTTAGAATCCTCCTCAGTCCTTTGTGAGAGTCTTCATCCCTTGGTGGCCAAAAGGCTGCATTCCCCTTCTTCACTCTACCATAGGCCACGTTTGCCTACACTGCCACATAGGTTTCCACAGGTGTGCTAATTCACATTAAGAACCCTTCATCTGTTCAGACTGAAAATGTAGCACAGCAGTGGACTTGTGCTCTTGAACCATTTCTGTATAAGCACACCATGACAACTGGCGCTTCCTTGCCCTTAGAGCGATTTGTCCGGCACACAGAAGGGCAACTTCTTTGAAGGCGGCAGTGCCAGCAGTGTGCCAGTCTTGTAGCCCATCACTGGAAGAGCCCTGGAAGAGATGCACCAGTTCCTGGCAGCACCAGATTGTGGACCCAAGAGCAGCACTGCCTCCTTTAATTGTTTTCCTAGGCTTAGCAGTTCAGATGTGTCATAGTAATAAACCTATTACCTCCACCGCCTCTGCTGTCATCACTGAAAAGCCAGAGAGGAGTTGACTGCACCTTCCGGTGGGGTTTCACAGTTGTGGGAATACTTCCCTGTCAGGAACTATCTTCTTCCAGGGGTATGCTTTTGTTGGGTGTTCCACATGCCTGCCATGGACACAGCCGCTCCCTTTTCTCTCTCTCCTTCCATCCTGCTTCCCCACCCACTGGCCGCTGGGGGAGAAACTGTAGAAGGAATTGTGCAAGATAAGGAACTGTGGATAAGGAAAGTAGAAAGAATTGTGCAAGATAAAGCCCTTTCTCTCTCTCTCTCTCTCTCTCTCTCTCTCTCTCTCCCCCTCTCTCATTTTGAATAACGTTTTCAGGTTTAGGTTTTCCTGTACAGTGCCTGTGCCTCAGCAATCTAATCAGTCAGTCATGAATGCTGCAGATCCTTCAGTGGGATAGCTGAAAGTGTTTAAAGCGGGATAGCTTGCTTTATGCAAGGGGACAAGTTCAGAGAGCCCCTGTTTCTCTGGTCAGGTGGCAGGCAGAAGAGTTTTTGTTCTGCATTGTTTTTTGCAGTTAGCCTGAACTGCTTGCTTTGTTGAAACAGGAGACTGCAAGCCGAAGATGCGCATTCCAAAACTAAAAGGCGAGAGGAAGAAGAGGCAGCTGCATCCTCACCCTGGGCCCCAGCCCCCACCGCTCCCCCTGCACCAGCTTCTGCCACCACTGCTCTTGCCCCAGCCTCCACTCCAATCGCAGGAGGAAGGGCAGCCACAGATCTCTCCAGCAGAACAGGGGCCTGAGCCCAAGCTGACCAAGCCCAGCTCTGTGGAAGAAAGCCCTCCTCCGATGCCTGCCCTGGACAGCCTGTCCTCTGAAGCCCCCACCGAAGAGGAGGAGTCACAGCAGCGGCCCATCATCCCGATGCTTTATGTGGTTCCGCGGCACAACAAGAGCTCCTCGGAGAAGAAGCGCTTGTCCTGCCAGGAGGTTTTCGAACGCTTTGTTGCAAAAGATGCAGGTTCCTCCTCGGATCTTGGGGGGAAGGATGAGGAGAATGCTGACGGGGAGAGCACAGAGGTCTCTGCTGAACCCAGTAAACTGCAGGTAGCATTCAGGGATGTGGGTTGCATGATTGGGAGTCAAACAGCAGTTTGGGGTCCTGAGGGTTTCCTCCTGCAGAGGTGGCTGTTCCTTTAAGATCACAGGCACCACCCCGCCGCCCCCGCCCCCAGCTCCAGACTCAGTGGGCGGAGAGCAGCCTGAGCTTCCCAGCTGGGTGGGGACCTTCAGGCACTGCTTTTGTGTGTGGCCAGGTGGTGAGAGGTGTCGGCTGTAGCTGCTGGGTGCAGGGCAGGAGGGAGGGAGCCTTTTTCAACCTGGTGCCCTCCAGGTGCGGTGGGCTACAAGCCCCAGTGTAGCTGGCTGGGGATACTTGGAGTTGGGGGTCCTTTACACCTGCTGTGTGGTGCCAAGGGCTGCAGTACTTAAATCACCCTGTTGGAGAAAAGTTTAGGAAATTTTGCCTTCCTGTAGCCACATGGCATCTCCTCTAGTCGGATCATCTGATGTATTGTCAGTGCTACCCTGTGAAATAAGGTACTGCTGATCTCATTTTACTCAAGGGGAATGGAGTGCCCAAAGGTACACGGAACGCACAGTGGCGGGCAGTCTGTGAAGTCCTCTTTTGTAGCCACTGGAGCAGCCAGGCTCTTTGAAGAAGTTCCCTTTCTGGAACATCATTTATTCCACCTGTTGAAAGATCTTGTGTTGGTCACCTGTTGGCAGACAAGTGGCTTCTGAACACTCTACTTTTCGCTCTACTTTTCAGCAAGAATATATTCGGTGGGTTCAGAGGCGATCCCAGATGCATATGCTGGCCTTCCTTAGATTTAGAAAATTCCATGGGCTGCCTGCTGTCACTGTGGGAAGGGGGGAAAGGTGACAAGGGTTTGTGAGAGGTGAATGCGGGCAAGGGACCGAACAGCGGTGGGGGTCATTTCATGATCTCCAGCCCCCATGCAGTGTAGTACTTGCTGAATAGTAAGTAAGCAGGGGGCTTCTTGCTGAGATAGGGACCCGTCCGCTTGCTGGTCAGGCTCTGCTTGTGTCTCTGTGCTTCTCGTGTCTCTTTTGTCTTTGTCTGGTCGTGCTGGCCTGTGACCTGGCCTTCTGTACCATGTTGGGCTGCAGACACCGCATATATATCTGCACATCCATTCATATGCCTGTGCCCCTCTTGTGCTCTTTTTCTATGGGCAGAGTAGGACTGGGGCCATATCTCTGCCAAAGCTGTAGAGGAAAAGAGAGTCCACCTTCTCCATTTGACATTTGGGCAGCTAGTTTGCATTAGCTGAAGAGGGAAAGGAAGCTGCACCATGGACCTCAAGCCCTCCCTAAAATCCCTCTGGGGGCATTAGCTTTCATGTGCCATCTTCTTGCAAGCAGACATTCTGGACACAGGGACCCTGCAAAAACCAGTCTCTGTGCTTATCTTTAAGTACATGGGAAAGAAACTTGTTTACTTGGGCTTTCCTGCATCAGCTCCTGTATCCTTCAGGGGCAGGGATAGCCAGGCCACAGACTGGGCTAAGATCATGCTGTGCCACTATCTGAATTGGCTGGTGTTAGTTCATGGCCTTGGCCTGGCTTTTCAAGAGGCGGCCACATGTTCTTACAGACCAGAGAATGCAGGGTTTTGTCTAGACTCAAAAGCTGGGAAGTTTGCCCACCCTGAAGAATTTGTTTTCCTAGTCATCCCCCCGCCCGCTCCACCCACACTCCTAGCATAGCAGCCCAGAAAATAATGTTATGCCTCACTTTGAAACCAGAGTTTTGCTTGATGATATCTAGGTTTAAACACACACATAGAAAGCACACAGAGAAAAGCACTGATTGAGTCAAAATTTACAACTGTGTTGCCTATCAACTTGAGGGAAGAAAACAGCAGACAACTGCAGGCCTGTGATAAAGGAGCTACTGGTAGGGCAGGACTTGGTTGTAGACGTCCAGGGCAGATCTAATGGCTGGCTGAGTCCATGAAACATGAAAGCAAGCAGGCAGTGCTTCCATGGCCGAGGAACCAGGCAGATGGTTGTTGCGTGTTGTTTGTTCCTGTTTCTACCTGTGTTTTCTCTTTCTAGCCCCAGGAGGTCATGTGGGGTCATCTCAGCTGCTGCAGCATTGATAGGGAGGTGTGTTTTGTCATGTGGATTTGTGGTGGGGAAGAGGCCGTTGCAAGTTCCAGTGTTAAGTAACCCACCTTAACCTGTTGCAGGCAGTCCCACGCTTGGACGATATCACCTTGTGGAGGATCCCTAAAAGGGAGAGGCAGGAGTTATTCAAGCGAGTTAGCGGCAAGCCGGCAAGATACGCTGCAGCATTATTCATCCGAATGGTCCCCCCGGATGAGCTGTGGAGGTGGCAGAGCACCGTTAGCTATTGCGGGGGCAGAGGGAAGCGTGCCCTGCCCCGCAACGTGGTTGCCCGTTTGCGTCGCCTTCTGTACAAGCAATACTCCGACATAGTGGCGGCCGACTGGAGAAAAATCTGGTTGAAAATCAACAAGATCCTTTGGGCATAATGGGTCCATCTCCCAGGGCTTTTGCCCATTCCTGAATGGTGCAGGGATGTGTTTGGCTCTTCCCAGTGCCCTGTGCAGGCGGGATGCTGACTTTCTGGCCTGGGAGCTCTCCGTGGCAGGCTGTACCAGAAACCTCCAAGCAACCAGACTGTCCCTCAATGTGTGACAAGTGCCCCATGCCAGAGCAGAACTGTGTGTGTCCATATATGCCCATGTGTGCTGCTGGCAGCGCATGGGCAGAGCATATGTAATGTGACCCACCACCTGTGAAATGCTTGTGGCTTGTAGCCCGGCAATAAAGGTTTTCTTTTTCAGTTTGTTTCTACCTTTGTGCTCCCTTCTTTGTGTGCCCTTTTGCCACAGGGTTATGTCTCCGTCGCCATTCTGTGTCTGCTTGATGTAGGGTTGTCTGGTGGAGCTTTGGAAACATGATTCTTCATGCTTGGAGGCCTGTGGAGGTGGTGTGGCAGGAGGGGCTGCAACATAGATCTTGTCTGGGCATCAGTACCCATGGACTCTTTAAAGATGAACACTTGTCCGTGGCCCATGCAGCATCCTACTTCCTGTGCCTGCTGGTGTGTCCAGGCTTTATGATATTAAGATGGCATTAGCATTATAAGAAGGATGTTTTGTTCAGTTGAGGCCCAATCTTGGAAGAATGAACACAGTGGCGGAGGGTGGGGGCACAGTGGTTGGACGTGAGCTGAAAAAAGCATGGACTGCCCTGGGGCAGCTGGCGCTGGAGCCAGGACCAAATGAGTGCTTAAACTGATGTGTGGTGATGCTTGTTTGGGTGACCTGATCCACACATGGTGACAGCAAAGCACAAGGTAACCCACCAGCTGCAGGGATGCAGACCTCCCTGAACCCCTGCCATTTTAATCAGATAATAAACCATGGACCCACAGGTGGGTTGATTAGACCCTAAACAACCCATTGTTCCAGAATCACACAGCATTCTGAAAACCTCTGTTCTCACCAGTCCAAAGTTGCTTTACAGAAAGCAGGATGGTCACACGAATGCTGCATATCTCAGGTGAATTAACCCACTGTATGCCACTGTGATATGTCAACAGCCCCCATGTGACCTGAAATATTATGGGCTGTGTCAGCTGAAGGTCCTCCGATGCATCACTGCGTAAATAAAGAGCAGGGCTGCTATCTCAAGTAGGCAGGGTACTTCTTCTCGGTCTATGCGCATCACACATGTGGACTTTGTGCCTGTGCAGAGCCTGTTGCTGGGAAGCTTCTATGGCCAAGTGTTCATTTGGGGTGGGAAGCATGGTGAGGAGCTCTCATCCATCCCCCTCAATTCTGTTTTAACTGCTGCCATGTCTAGATTGTGAATCACCTCGCTCTCCTGTAAGTATACATTTTTTCTCTTGTTTTTTCCCTCTTTTACCCAGAACAAACCTTTTTTCATTCCTCTCACTTTGATCAACCTCTTTTCACTTTCCCCCACCCAAAAAAAAACCTCTACAAAAATACACATATTTCTACCTGCTTTCCTATCCACCACTCCCAGACCTTAAACGAATTGCCCTTTCTCTCCCTACGCCTTTCTCCTTCCCTCGTTCAGCCTGCTTCCCATCTTCCTTGATGGCGGCAGTGGAAGCCTTTAGGAGATGTGCTGCTTGTGGTAGCGAGTCGCCTGCATCCCACAGCCATTCCCTGTGCCTTCTTTGCTGGGGCAAGGGACACGTGGAGATCGGAACTCATTGCCTGGAAACACCAAGCCAATCCGCTCAAGGCTAAACTTTGGAAGAAGGCCCTGCAAGTAGCGGACTCTTCCAGAAAAGGACAGGACCATGTTTCTGCCTCCCCAGTGAGGTACCTCTGAGCTAAGCCATGGCAAAAGCGCATATGGTGGGTGACCACGCACCGAGGAAGGCAGCAAAATGCCTTTAAAAAGATGGCTGTCTGTTTGCCCAGGCACACCAATGAGTCTTCACCAACTGTCAACCATGCCTGTTCCCGGAAGCTGCTGGAGGCCTCCAGTACCATGCTGAGAAGAACTGGGAGCCTGGCCTGCCACAGTGATGGGCCACCATTTGCCCTGAACCTCTGCGCCCAAGGACTGTGCTCCCGGGAGCTGACCCTGGTGCCACGTGACTCGCTTTCATGATGCTCCCCGGGCACCCCCACAAGTCCAGTGACACCCCCTTGGGAAGCGGCTCAGTGCTGGAGTGCTGCGGCACACCACACCGTGCCAGCCCCAGCACGGCACTTGCAGGCCAGGGGACACCAGGTCTGTTCCCATTCTCCATTTATTGAATGGGAGCAAGCCTGCTGCTCTCCAGCATCCTTCTGCCCTGGAGATGGTATGGCTACTCTGACAAGGCTGACCACAAACATCAGTGCCCAGCCTCGCTATCAGGATGAGTCATGCTGAGTGCCACCGACACCAGGACCACGCATGCCACCTTCATCCTTTGGCACCAGAGAGACACGAAGGCAGCCTGGCCAGCAGCCTCCATCACTCGCCGTCTGGCCAACACTACTCCTTGACCACCAGTTGACTTCA